CTATTGGTTGCTCTCAGATCATGATCATAGACTTCAAATTGACATATCCAAGTGGTACTGCGACTGCGCATCTTATCAACGGCTTCCACACTCCTAAAGGAGCCAAGTTAGCAAAGTAAGACCTATATATATATATATATATATATCAATATATGTTACTTCAAGATTTCATGTTGCGCAACAAATAAATGAATTTTAGAGAGTTCCACTACTTACATACATATTCTGCTACACCCACTCAGGAAACAAGTGAGAGAATTGGGCAAATTCTTCTCCTTCAGTTTCTTATGGCGTTTCTTCCAATGGTTCTTCACCGCCGGAGAAGACTGCGGATTCACAAACTTCCCTACATTTGGACTCAAAGCATATAAATACAAGTACACAATTGACTCTCTTTCTCATGTTTTATTTCAGTATATATCTGAACAAATCTATAGATGTAAAAAATATGAATGTCATTTCCAATAATCAGGGCTGGTTTGAACTAGTATTTTCCAGTCTGATCATTGTAAACACAACTGGCCGGTTTGAACTTCACCTGAGGTTGGCTAAATAAAGCCAAAAGATCAATACCAACGGGCAGTAGTCCAGATGGTACGATCTCTCCTCTCCTAAGTGGAGTTTGAGTGTTCGAAAGTGTTCAAGCAATTAATTTATGTATTTCAAAAGTACAGGTTCTACTTCGATTTTTCGGCCACTTATATTGGACTTGGGATGATCTGTCCCCATATCATAAATGTATCATTGCTGGTTGGAGGAATTCTTTCTTGGGGAATCATGTGGCCTCTTATAGAAGCTAAAAGGGGTGATTGGTACTCTGCAGACCTTCCCCTAACCAGCCTACACGGCCTTCAAGGTTATAAGGTATTGGACATATATATGTATATAGTTTCTGTTAATCATGTTCTTGAATATGTGCTTCATGGAGGTTTCAACTTTGTCCCTCTTTTTAAAGCTTAATTTGAACTTGACATACACAGATTTTCATCGCCATAGCTGTGATTCTTGGTGATGGTTTGTACAACTTCTCCAAGGTGCTGACCCGAACTCTCTTGGCCTTGTTTTACCAACTCCATCAAATATATTCCAACACTGGTCCCCTTTTTGCTGACTCTCAACCTTCTGAGAGTCCTCGTCTGTCTTATGACAACCAGCGACGAACCAAACTCTTCCTCAAAGATCAAATCCCAACATGGTTTGCCATGGGAGGATACATTGCAATCGCTGCTATCTCAACTGCTACACTTCCTCACATATTCCACCAGCTCAAATGGTACTACATATTGGTTCTCTACATCTTCGCGCCTGCTTTGGCTTTTTGCAATGCATATGGCTGTGGGCTCACTGATTGGTCCCTCGCGTCCACCTATGGCAAGCTTGCCATCTTCACGATTGGGGCGTGGGCTGGTGCCTCACATGGTGGAGTTCTCGCGGGCTTGGCAGCCTGTGGTGTCATGATGAATATTGTGTCGACAGCCTCTGACTTGATGCAGGACTTCAAGACAGGGTACATGACCTTGGCCTCACCGCGGTCCATGTTTGTTAGCCAAGTGATTGGCACTGCAATGGGGTGTGTGATTTCGCCTTGTGTCTTTTGGATATTCTACAAGGCCTTCCCTGACATGGGACTCACTACCAGTGAATATCCTGCACCTTTTGCTCTAGTGTACCGAAACATGGCCAAATTGGGGGTTGAGGGTGTCAACACATTACCCACAAATTGTCTCACTCTTTGTTATGTGTTCTTTGGCGCCGCCATTTTCATAAACTTGGTGAGGGATGGTCTGGGGAAGAAGAGAGCGTGGTTTATTCCGGTTCCAATGGCAATGGCGATACCATTTTATCTGGGATCATACTTTGCCATTGACATGTGTGTTGGGAGTTTGATACTATTTGTGTGGCAAAAGATAAACAGGGCTAAGGCAGATGCTTTTGGACCTGCTGTGGCTTCTGGTTTGATTTGTGGGGATGGGATATGGACATTGCCTAATGCCATACTTGCTCTTGCTGGTGTAAAACCTCCTATTTGCATGAAGTTTCTGTCTAGAAAAACAAATGTCAGGGTTGGTGATTTTCTTACGCCAAAGAAAGTTTGATAAGGTTTTTAATTAGCCTCTCTGGCCAAAGTCTGGCTTAATAAATTAATGTACTCAAAGACTTGGTCATCATCATATTCATATGTTTGAAAAATATACTACCATGTAAATTTTCTCTCTCTTCTTATTTCTGATTCAATCCAAATGCAGCTATCCCCAAGTCCATTATCTGTATGGCTATAAACCTTTTAAAATATGGACCAATCACTTCCTTATATTGCCCACAAAGAAAAATAAAGAAATGGGCATTTGACTCTTGACACAAAATAAACTCAACCTAGTTTAGTAAAAACAATTCCACAATTTTATTTTATTTTTATTTTTAATTTTTTTTTGAGCAAAGAGAACAGTTGCAACCAACACTCTCATGGCCACTATGTAATTCCACGATGGAAAAAACTTTTAAAGTTGAAAAGTTTAGGAAGCACAAACACGAATATGACTACGATGATACGATAAAAAAAAAAAAAAAAAAAAGAGTATACGAATATGGCATTATAAGACAATAAAAAAATTAATAAATTTTTTTTTTTTATATATATAAAATATTAATTTTTGATCCTCTTTTTTTTTTTTTATTTAAAAAATATCATGAATCTAAATACAATCATCAATATAATATAGAAGTTCGTTTTACACCAAATAAAACAAGTATCCCTAATCAGTATTTTATTAAATTTGAACTTTTCCTCAAGTGTCTGAGAAACATTGAATACACAGTCAAAATGCCTAAGAAATATCGGATACGTGTTAGAAATTAAAAGATATATTTTAAAATTATGAATACGTTTAAAAAGTATCGGACACGTATTCACAAGTATCCGTGAAATATCGATATTCAACATGCATCTAATACAGATAAGTTACTTTCCTAGAAGTACTCGTGCTTCTTAACTTTTAATTAATTATGTATGTAAGATATAAGTAAAACTTTCTTAATTCTTGGTATTTTGCAAAAATAACCATTATCAAAGTCGAGACAAAAAATTATACTCAACTCTCTCCGCCTAAGTTCCACTGTTAATTTCTTGACAAATTAATTACTTATGGAGGATTCTTAAAAGAAATTAGAGGTGTTGGCTACACTGGGTGGGTCCAAATGTAGAGGGATGGGAGGGCAACATATAAGATGTTAACCACATTAGATTGGCTATGATCCTGATTTCATTTTATCCAAATAATCCCCCAATTTCATGGCCCACAATTTAAAATTCAATGATTTTGTCGACAAATCAAGAGTGTAACAGGATAATCATATGGTAGTAAAATTGAATGTAAATAAAATCTCAAATTTTTATTTTATTTTTCAAAATCAAAATCTGACCCACATCCGCGATCTAACTCAATCCTAAGTCAAAAAATATATAATTCCACACTAGAATTACTGGTTTTACTTCCAGATGTGTATGTATTTAATTATTTCAACACAATCAAAAACAATATTCATCTTCCATCCTGCAATGAAGAGACAAATCAATCTCCCTATTCAGTCTCTCCGTTGGATCACAATTCACAAGTTGAGTTTGAGCAAATGCCACGACCATGTGCAAATGTGTATAAATAATGAAATTGTAAATAAACTGTAATTAAATGAAAAAATCACTCCCATTATATTTTAGAATAATAATCAATGGTAAAGTATTTGGAATAATAATATTTTATGCACACATTTTTTTTTTTTTTTTCCCAAAGTAAATTACACCCACTAAGAGTATCTTCTATGTTAATTCAGAAGTTACATTAACCTTCATAAAATTAATACTTTTATAATTTATATCTAATCTACCAAAAATGTTAAAGTAAAAAATTCTAGTTTTGACGTTCACAATTTTTTTTTTAATGTCGTTTAACAAAAATGATCAATACAATTTTTAATTATTAGGAGAGGTTCTACAATTATATTATGAAAATTGATATTAAATTTATTAATTATATGCAAAATCTCTTACAAGAGAGGTGCTTATATTTATATATTTTTTAATCACTTTGGTGTATGTATAATTAGTATTAATTATATGCAAAATCTCTCACAATGGAGGGGCTTATAATTATATGTTTTTAATCCATTGGTGTAGGCATCGTATGTGTAAATTTATATATATTACACCATAAATAAATTACGACGCCTATGACTGAAGGACATAGTATTTTAGTCTTCGTTTGGATACGCAGAAGACATACCTTACTTTGTCCGTGTCGAATACCGAGACTCATTAGATACTTGTGAATGTGTTATATACTTTTTAAATATCTTTATAATTTGAAAATACTTATAATATATATATATATATATATATATATATATATATATATATATAATTTGAAAATATTTTTTTTTTATTTCTGAAATGTATCCGAGATGTCTTAGATATTTCTACCTTATATCCTATACTTCTTAGATACTTGCATACGAGTCTTGAACATTAAAATAAAACCTTTTCAGGTATAATATCATAGCACAATTATTAAGAAAAAACTTAAAATTCCTTCTAGGAGGAAGTATTAAGATATATCTCATAACTAATTTACTTCAAAATTTATCCATACCATTACTCTCCACTCCCAGCTTGTTTGTCATCGTTATTTTTGTTAAGAAATGTTAGTAACACTATAAATAACATTACAAACAATTACTTTTTAAAAATTTATAGTTAGAGAAATATATTTTTTAACTTGTATACATATATATATATTTATACATTTATATATTTCCATGCCCTTGTATTTGTATCATATTTTTTTCCGATACCGTATCCGTATTGTGTCATGTACTTGTCCCGCGGGCCACGACCATGTCCATGCTTCATAAAGTAGGAGTAGATTAAATGAACAAGTTAACGAAGGTGAACAGGGTATTACTTAGCAACTAGAGATTCAGAAATTTTTTTTTTTTTTTTTTTTTCTCTCTCTAAAAAATAAGAACGATGTAGGTGATGATTTCACAAAGCATTGTTAAAAGATAATCTCTTGCATATCTCCTTTGAAGAAATAAATTGTCAGAAGATTCTATAAAATGACCCCTGAGATCTTACATGCAGATAAGATTTTCAAACAATGGTAAATATCTCTCATTCTCTCACCCACCCATGGTGTGCTGTCCAGGGTGAGAAAGGGGCAATAAGAATATGATTCCACATTCTAACCTTTATTGTAGCAAAATAACACTCAAATCCTTAACATGCAATAATGTTTTAATAATGGATGGCTATTGTTGTGTGATTGGGTCAACTATAAACTACATGAAGAACTCTAATAACGGTATCGATGTGTACGCTGTTACTCCCCACCTGTGTGGTTAGACACCTGCATTGCTGCTCAACATATCTCCAAACGGTGGCCTTGTTTTCTCAACCACAAAAATTATTTTCATGTTAATTAATCGACATGTATCCTCTGAATGTATAAACCCTTGGGCAACTTCGTCATATGTTACCTTGGGTGGTATCATATTGCATGGCAAATGACAACCGTACAACTAAAATTTTCATTCTTCATTATATAGAACTTTGACCATTGTTTACTTTTTCTGCGCTGCCATTAATACATACTAGGCTTTCATGAAATCTGTTAATCTGATTTGCTTACTATGAATTTGAATGGCAAATGAACAGGGTGAATGCTGGTTTCAGCTAAGGAACTCTGCACCGAGCCCGACAGCAGAAAACCCAAAGCCAAACCCTTCAAGAATTTTGGACGAGCGGTTGAGGACGCTTGAACATACGGCATCTCTTATGGCAAGAGATGTTGTTACCAAGGGAAATCTGACGTCTGTGAATAGACAACCTGACTATGAGTTCTTCCTCTCTAGGCGATGCTAGTAGCTACTCCAAAATTGCTTTTAGGTGTGACTCACCGAGTAGTCAGCTTATATTTGCCAAAGTAGTTCTGTATAAATTCTAAATCTAACCCTCAGATAGGAGGAATCAAAAGCACCACATCTCATCGCTCTGCTTCTATCCTCTCTCTCTCTCTCTCTGTCTCCTTTTTCTTTTTTCCTTGTGGTGGAACTTGTTCCATCTGTGTAGGGGATTTGCAAATAACTACCTTTTTTTTTTTTCCTTGTTGTGATGAAACTTGCATGGAATTGGTGTTTTCAAATTGGAACCAAGTCCAAGCGACCAAACATAGCACAAATAAGCAAAATTGCAGCACTTGTTTTGTTCCTTATTTGCAAGTCATTTGAGCTTTATTCGAGCTAGACTAGTGTGTTCATGCTTGATAGATTCATATTTTGCCACATTGTTGTTCGTAAGCCTTATTATCTATTCTTTTGCCATCACTCACTGAAAGGTAATCTTATCGAATCAAAATTTAGTTCAAACTTTAAAATTAAATATTTTTTAATTGCAATTTTGAGACTTTAATTGGGTGCTTCTTAACATAAGTTAAAAAATTATTAGTACCGCATATTACAAACTGTTTGTGATAAACATAACTAATATATAATCTATAGATATAGATTATACATTAGCTTGGTCATCCCAGCTTGGTGAACTGAGTCCACCACTTGTTCTAACAAGCATGGCCTAATTTGGTCTGTGACAGTGCTGCCCACGGCGAGCGTTGAAACAAGGGGCCTGTGGGTTCCGCAAATTGGCTCGTTAAGCTATCATTATTTTTCTTTATTTTGTGTCCGTCTTTATACATCAAAGAAGAAAATGACACAATTTGAGGCAATTCATTCTCCATTGGAGGAGGGCTGGCGTGAATGTGTCCCAATTTTGTTGGGGCCACCCAAGGATTAAGACGAGGGATTCAAATTTTTACATTAAAAATTATTTGATAGTTCTCGTCAGTCACTCTCACTTTCCCTGTCACTCATTATTATCGGAAGATTCAAATTAAAATTTCATTCTCAACTTTTACAAGAGTGTTGATGGGTGGAATTGTCGATTTTAGAATTTTTTATTTTAAAAAGTGAACTTACAAATGTGTAATAATTTAGAATAAAGTGTAAAAAATTACCTTCTTGTTATATATACAGAATGTGTGAAAAAAAAAAAAAAAAAAATTGGTTTTTAAAAAAAACCCTGTGCTTTTCAAAAATGAGTAAAAAATTGAAGTACTTAAAATTCTATTAAAGCAAAATAATAATTAAAAAAAAAATGATGCACAAGTTTTATCAGGGTATTTTGAAATTTTTATAAAAAAATATTTTGTCAAAATTGATGATTAGAGAGTAATTTGGTGCAAAATTTTAAACTATATGAATTTATATGCACATACTAAATAGTAAAAGTATGTTTTAAATTTTTTATATAGCAATGGATTTTCTGCATTATACTCAATAATTTATTTAAAAAATATATTATACAGTAAATTTGATCAGACTCATAAATGGTTCAGATAATTTAATAATCCATCTATCTCAAAATTATTGTCAATAGATGTCTCAAAATACATGTTTCATTTCAAAAATGGATATACCATTTTTTATAACATCCTAAAATTATTTTTTTTACTAGACAAGTACATTAATTACGCAGTACTATTTTATCATTTAACAAAATAAATTTATAAATTTACTCTTATTAATATAATAAGAAATTGGAGATGAATTTTGGAAAAGACGGAATAATAAGTTTGAACCGAAAGTGTGAAGTCAGTCAACCAAAGAGACAAAACTGAATTGTTCCATTATTAATGCCAAGTTACCACTAATTCCAAGTTATTTGTCTCACTTTCGATTTCTCAATCAGTGCTCCAAGTATTGAAAAAGGTCTGTTTTCATTTAAGAAAATGTTTCCTTTCATAAAAGAATAGAAATGCCAAAGAATAAATATTTATATGAAAGCTTATTTTAAAGCATGAAACAATATTTTCGGTAGGTACAGTGTAAATTTTAAACATATAAACAAGAAAAATAGAGAATTAAAGGGAGGCATGCATAATTCCTAGTCCAATTTAGACTTTAACTGTATTTTTTTTTATAAGAATTCTGAACGAATTAAACCTGGACGATTTCTTAAGTACACGACTAGATACCTACTATATACATTTAATATTACAAGTGTTAAATGGTTCGCAAAATCGGTCATAGTCGTGATATTGGTCGCGGTTGTGGTGTATCAGACTGGAACAAAGTCAGTGTAAATTGACCAATACAAATCGCGTATCCAATTTGAAAAAAAGTAGTGTATTGGTCGATATATTGCGTATTGAATAATACGACGAATCATATTGCTAAGTGACATACAGATAGTCGAGGAGCATGCAATAATTTATTGTATAATCCATTAACAAGCCCCTAAAATACATTTTAAATTTGGAGAATAAAGGAATAAGAAAATTAAACATGTGCCTATTGAATAACTCAAAATTTGGTTAGCTTTCGATCTTTCATCATGTTGAGATGATTGTAATGACATGAATATCTCAAACTCTTTTTCCACAAAAATATCCACCCAAGATTCATTAATTCACCCACCTGCTAAGACTCCACAACTTAAAAAAGCAGAGAGAGAGAGAGAGAGAGAGAGAGAGAGGGGTAGAGAATGGAAAAACTAAGGGAAGGAAAGGTAGAGGAGGGAATGGATTTAGAAAATGAAAAGATGTGTTTGGAAGAGGAGAAGAAGGAAAAAAGAGCAGAGCATGAAGAGGAAGAAGAAGTAGGATTGTCGGTGGAGAAGATATTTGAGAGCAAAGAAGTGCCTTCATGGAAGAAACAGTTGACAGTGAGAGCCTTTGTGGTGAGCTTTGGACTGTCGGTGATGTTCAGCTTCATAGTGATGAAGCTCAATCTCACCACTGGTATCATACCTTCCCTCAACGTCTCTGCTGGACTGTTGGGTTTCTTCTTCGTCAAGACTTGGACCAAACTGCTTCACAGATCTGCCCTCTTCAAGCAACCCTTCACCCGCCAAGAGAACACCGTCGTTCAGACCTGCGTGGTCGCCTCCTCCGGCATCGCCTTTAGCGGTACGTACACATCCCCACAAATTTATTGGCTACTAGCTTATATGGATCTGTTCTTTTTTTTTTTTAGTTAACTGCCATAGTGGATCAGTTGCAGCATCTTTAATGGTTTTTTTTTTTTATATATATTTATTATTATTATTATTATTATTATTTTATAACGCAACAGTTTCTTCGGTAATGTCCATTGGCAACTCAAATTCCTATAGACTTTTGTTTTTTAAAATTCGAAAACAATCTCTCTCTCTTTTTTTTTTTCAACTATTAATTATATTTCTCAAAATCATTTTTTTTTTCTTGTCTCAATTATTGTGTACAAATAGGAGGTTTTGGGAATTACCTCTTTGGAATGAGTGAACGAATTGCCAAAGAATCAGGACAAGAGAGTGACTATAAGAATCCGACCATAGGATGGATGATAGGTTTTCTCTTTGTCGTCAGTTTTCTCGGCCTATTCTCAGTGGTCCCTCTCCGAAAGGTATTTTTTACAACTTGCACATTGGATAAAATTAAGGAAATAAGATAGGGTCGTTTGGTTCAATTTTTTTGTTTTTAGGTTACTGAAAATTAAAAATTTGTAAAAAAATTTGTTTGATTGCAGTTTTTCAAAACTCAATAATAAAAATGTGTGGAATAGTACGTTTTTTAAAAATTGAACCAAACAGATTCCAAAAAAACTCAATTTTATATTCACCTAAATTGTCAAAACAGTTTTGGGATAGAATTATGATACTCGTGGATTATTGATCTATTAAAGTTTGTGTTGGAAACAATATTATTTAAAATATAAATTTAAATGGTGTAGCTATTGGTTGTTCTCAGATCATGGTCATAGACTTCAAATTGACATATCCAAGTGGTACCGCGACTGCGCATCTTATTAACAGCTTCCACACTCCTGAAGGAGCCAAGTTAGCAAAGTAAGACCTATATATATATGTGTGTTACTTCAAGATTTCATGTTGCGCAACAAATAAATGAATTTCAGAGAGTTCCACTACTTACTTACATATTCCGCTACACCTACTCAGGAAACAAGTGAGAGAATTGGGCAAATTCTTCTCCTTCAGTTTCTTATGGGGTTTCTTCCAATGGTTCTTCACCGCCGGAGATGATTGTGGATTCACAAACTTCCCTACATTTGGACTAAAAGCATATAAATACAAGTACACGTTTGACTCTCTTTCTCATGTTTTATATCAGTATATATCTAAACAAATCTATAGATGTAAAAAATATAAATGTCATTTCCAATAATCAGGGCTGGTTTGAACTAATATTTTTCAGTATGATCATTGTAAACACAACTGGCCGGTTTGAAATTCACCTGAGGGAGGCTAAATAAAGCCAAAAGATCAATACCAACGGGCATTAGTCCAGATGGTACGATCTCTCCTCTCCTGAGAGGAGTTTTGAGTGTTCGAAAGTGTTCAAGCAATTAATTTGTGTATTTCAAAAGTACAGGTTCTACTTCGATTTTTCGGCCACTTATATTGGAGTTGGGATGATCTGTCCCCATATCATAAATGTATCATTGCTGGTTGGAGGAATTCTTTCTTGGGGAATCATGTGGCCTCTTATAGAAGCTAGAAGGGGTGATTGGTACTCTGCAGATCTTCCCCTAACCAGCCTACATGGCCTTCAAGGTTATAAGGTATTGGACACACGTATATATATATATAGTTTCTGTTAATCGTGTTCTTGAATATGTCATGGAGGTTTCAACTTTGTCCCTCTTTTTAAAGCTTAATTTGAACTTGACATACACAGATTTTCATCGCCATAGCTGTGATTCTTGGTGATGGCTTGTACAACTTCTTCAAGGTGCTGACCCGAACTCTCTTGGCCTTGTTTTACCAACTCCGTCAAAAATATTCCAACACCGGTCCCCTTTTTGCTGACTCTCAACCTTCTGAGAGCCCTCGTCTGTCTTATGACAACCAGCGACGAACCAAACTCTTCCTCAAAGATCAAATCCCAACATGGTTTGCCATGGGAGGATACGTTGCAATCGCTGCTATCTCAACTGCTACACTTCCTCACATATTCCACCAGCTCAAATGGTACTACATATTGGTTCTCTACATCTTCGCGCCTGCTTTGGCTTTTTGCAATGCATATGGCTGTGGGCTCACTGATTGGTCCCTCGCGTCCACCTATGGCAAGCTTGCCATCTTCACGATTGGGGCGTGGGCTGGTGCCTCAAATGGTGGAGTTCTCGCGGGCCTGGCAGCCTGTGGTGTCATGATGAATATTGTGTCGACAGCCTCTGACTTGATGCAGGACTTCAAGACAGGGTACATGACCTTGGCCTCACCGCGGTCCATGTTTGTTAGCCAAGTGATTGGCACTGCAATGGGGTGTGTGATTTCGCCTTGTGTCTTTTGGATATTCTACAAGGCCTTCCCTGACATGGGACTCACTACCAGTGAATATCCTGCACCTTTTGCTCTAGTGTACCGAAACATGGCCAAATTGGGGGTTGAGGGTGTCAACACATTACCCACAAATTGTCTCACTCTTTGTTATGTGTTCTTTGGCGCCGCCATTTTCATAAACTTGGTGAGGGATGGTCTGGGGAAGAAGAGAGCGTGGTTTATTCCGGTTCCAATGGCAATGGCGATACCATTTTATCTGGGATCATACTTTGCCATTGACATGTGTGTTGGGAGTTTGATACTATTTGTGTGGCAAAAGATAAACAGGGCTAAGGCAGATGCTTTTGGACCTGCTGTGGCTTCTGGTTTGATTTGTGGGGATGGGATATGGACATTGCCTAATGCCATACTTGCTCTTGCTGGTGTAAAACCTCCTATTTGCATGAAGTTTCTGTCTAGAAAAACAAATGTCAGGGTTGATGATTTTCTTACGCCTAAGAAAGGTTGATTAGGTTTTTAATTAGCCTCTCTGGCCAAAGTCTGGCTTAATAAATTAATGTACTCAAAGACTTGGTCATCATCATATTCATATGTTTGAAAAATATACTACCATGTAAATTTTCTCTCTCTTCTTATTTCGGATTCAATCCAAATGCAGCTATCCCCAAGTCCATTATCTGTATGGCTATAAACATTTTAAAATATGGACCAATCACTTCCTTATATTGCCCACAAAGAAAAATAAAGAAATGGGCATTTGACTCTTGACACAAAATATACATAAACTCAACCTAGTTTAGTAAAAACAATTCCACAATTTTATTTTATTTTTATTTTTAATTTTTTTTTTGAGCAAAGAGAACAGTTGCAACCAACACTCTCATGGCCACTATGTAATTCCACGATGGAAAAAACTTTTAAAGTTGAAAAGTTTAGGAAGCACAAACACGAATATGACTACGATGATACGATAAAATAAAAAAAAAGAAAAAAAGAGTATACGAATATGGCACTATAAGACAATAAAAAAATTAATAATTTTTTTTTTATATATATAAAATATTAATTTTTGATCCTCTTTTTTTTTTTTATTTAAAAAATATCATGAATCTAAATACAATCATCAATATAATATAGAAGTTCGTTTTACACCAAATAAATCAAGTATCCCTAATCAGTATTTTATTAAATTTGAACTTTTCCTCAAGTGTCTGAGAAACATTGGATACACCGTCAAAATGCCTAAAAAATATCGGATACGTGTTAGAAATTAAAAGATATATTTTAAAATTATGAATACGTTTAAAAAGTATCGGACACGTATTCACAAGTATCCGTGAAGTATCGATATTCAACATGCATCTGATACAGATAAGTTACTTTCCTAGAAGTACTCGTGCTTCTTAACTTTTAATTAATTATGTATGTAAGATATAAGTAAAACTTTCTTAATTCTTGGTATTTTGCAAAAATAACCATTATCATAGTCGAGACAAAAAATTATACTCAACTCTCTCCGCCTAAGTTCCACTGTTAATTTCTTGACAAATTAATTACTTATGGAGGATTCTTAAAAGAAATTAGAGGTGTTGGCTACACTGGGTGGGTCCAAATGTAGAGGGATGGGAGGGCAACATATAAGATGTTAACCACATTAGATTGGCTATGATCCTGATTTCATTTTATCCAAATAATCCCCCAATTTCATGGCCCACAATTTAAAATTCAATGATTTTGTCGACAAATCAAGAGTGTAACAGGATAATCATATGGTAGTAAAATTGAATGTAAATAAAATGTCAAATTTTTATTTTATTTTTCAAAATCAAAATCTGACCCACATCCGTGATCTAACTCAATCCTAAGTCAAAAAATATATAATTCCACACTAGAATTACTGGTTTTACTTCCAGATGTGTATGTATTTAATTATTTCAACACAATCAAAAACAATATTCATCTTCCATCCTGCAATGAAGAGACAAATCAATCTCCCTATTCAGTCTCTCCGTTGGATCACAATTCACAAGTTGAGTTTGAGCAAATGCCACGACCATGTGCAAATGTGTATAAATAATGAAATTGTAAATAAACTGTAATTAAATGAAAAAATCACTCCCATTATATTTTAGAATAATAATCAATGGTAAAGTATTTGGAATAATAATATTTTATGCACACATTTTTTTTTTTTTTTTTCCCAAAGTAAATTACACCCACTAAGAGTATCTTCTATGTTAATTCAGAAGTTACATTAACCTTCATAAAATTAATACTTTTATAATTTATATCTAATCTACCAAAAATGTTAAAGTAAAAAATTCTAGTTTTGACGTTCACAATTTTTTTTTTAATGTCGTTTAACAAAAATGATCAATACAATTTTTAATTATTAGGAGAGGTTCTACAATTATATTATGAAAATTGATATTAAATTTATTAATTATATGCAAAATCTCTTACAAGAGAGGTGCTTATATTTATATATTTTTTAATCACTTTGGTGTATGTATAATTAGTATTAATTATATGCAAAATCTCTCACAATGGAGGGGCTTATAATTATATGTTTTTAATCCATTGGTGTAGGCATTGTATGTGTAAATTTATATATATTACACCATAAATAAATTACGACGCCTATGACTGAAGACATAGTATTTTAGTCTTCGTTTGGATAAGCAGAAGACATAACTTACTTTGTCCGTGTCAAATACCGAGACTCATTAGATACTTGTGAATGTGTTATATACTTTTTAAATATCTTTATAATTTGAAAATACTTATAATATATATATATATATATATATATAAAATTTGAAAATATTTTTTTTTATTTCTGAAATGTATCCGAGATGTCTTAGATATTTCTACCTTATATCCTATACTTCTTAGATACTTGCATACGAGTCTTGAACATTAAAATAAAACCTTTTCAGGTATAATATCATAGCACAATTATTAAGAAAAAACTTAAAATTCCTTCTAGGAGGAAGTATTAAGATATATCTCATAACTAATTTACTTCAAAATTTATCCATACCATTACTCTCCACTCCCAGCTTGTTTGTCATCGTTATTTTTGTTAAGAAATGTTAGTAACACTATAAATAACATTACAAACAATTACTTTTTAAAAATTTATAGTTAGAGAAATATATTTTTTAACTTGTATACATATATATATATTTATACATTTATATATTTCCATGCCCTTGTATTTGTATCATATTTTTTTCCGATACCGTATCCGTATTGTGTCATGTACTTGTCCCGCGGGCCACGACCATGTCCATGCTTCATAAAGTAGGAGTAGATTAAATGAACAAGTTAACGAAGGTGAACAGGGTATTACTTAGCAACTAGAGATTCAGAATTTTTTTTTTTTTTTTTTTTTCTCTCTAAAAAATAAGAACGAAGTAGGTGATGATTTCACAAAGCATTGTTAAAAGATAACCTCTTGCATATCTCCTTAGAAGAAATAAATTGTCAGAAGAAGATGATTCTATAAAATGACCCCTGAGATCTTACATGCAGATAAGATTTTCAAACAATGGTAAATATCTCTCATTCTCTCACCCACCCACGGTGTGCTATCCAGGGTGAGGAAGGGGCAATAAGAATATGATTCCACATTCTAACCTTTATTGTAGCAAAATAACACTCAAATCCTTAACATGCAATAATGTTTTAATAATGGATGGCTATTGTTGTGTGATTGGGTCAACTATAAACTACATGAAGAACTCTAATAACGGTATCGATGTGTACGCTGTTACTCCCCACCTGTGTGGTTAGACACCTGCATTGCTGCTCAACATATCTCCAAACGGTGGCCTTGTTTTCTCAACCACAAAAATTATTTTCATGTTAATTAATCGACATGTATCCTCTGAATGTATAAACCCTTGGGCAACTTCGTCATATGTTACCTTGGGTGGTATCATATTGCATGGCAAATGACAACCGTACAACTAAAATTTTCATTCTTCATTATATAGAACTTTGACCATTGTTTACTTTTTCTGCGCTGCCATTAATACATACTAGGCTTTCATGAAATCTGTTAATCTGATTTGCTTACTATGAATTTGAATGGCAAATGAACAGGGTGAATGCTGGTTTCAGCTAAGGAACTCTGCACCGAGCCCTCAGATAGGAGGAATCAAAAGCAGCACATCTCATCGCTCTGCTTCTATCCTCTCTCTCTCTCTCTCTGTCTCCTTTTTCTTTTTTCCTTGTGGTGGAACTTGTTCCATCTGTGTAGGGGATTTGCGAATAACTACCTTTTTTTTTTTTCCTAGTTGTGATGAAACTTGCATGGAATTGGTGTTTTCAAATTGGAACCAAGTCCAAGCGACCAAAAATAGCTCAAATAAGCAAAATTGCAGCACTTGTTTTGTTCCTTATTTGCAAGTCATTTGAGCTTTATTCGAGCTAGACTAGTGTGTTCATGCTTGATAGATTCATATTTTGCCACATTGTTGTTCGTAAGCCTTATTATCTATTCTTTTGCCATCACTCACTGAAAGGTAATCTTATCGAATCAAAATTTAGTTCAAACTTTAAAATTAAATATTTTTTAATTGCAATTTTGAGACTTTAATTGGGTGCTTCTTAACATAAGTTAAAAAATTATTAGTACAGCATATTACAAACTGTTTGTGATAAACATAACTAATATATAATCTATAGATATAGATTATACATTAGCTTGGTCATCCCAGCTTGGTGAACTGAGTCCACCACTTGTTCTAACAAGCATGGCCTAATTTGGTCTGTGACAGTGCTGCCCACGGCGAGCGTTGAAACAAGGGGCCTGTGGGTTCCACAAATTGGCTCGTTAAGCTATCATTATTTTTCTTTATTTTGTGTCCGTCTTTATACATCAAAGAAGAAAATGACACAATTTGAGGCAATTCATTCTCCATTGGAGGAGGGCTGGCGTGAATGTGACCCAATTTTGTTGGGGCCACCCAAGGATTAAGACGAGGGATTCAAATTTTTACATTAGAAATTATTTGATAGTTCTCGTCAGTCACTCTCACTTTCCCTGTCACTCATTATTATCGGAAGATTCAAATTAAAATTTCATTCTCAACTTTTACAAGGGTGTTGATGAGTGGAATTGTCGATTTTAGAGTTTTTTATTTTAAAAAGTGAACTTACAAATGTGTAATAATTTAGAATAAAGTGTAAAAAATTACCTTCTTGTTATATATACAGAATGTGTGAAAAAAAAAAAAAAAAAAAAAATTGGTTTTTAAAAAAAAACCCTGTGCTTTTCAAAATCAGTAAAAAATTGAAGTACTTAAAATTCTATTAAAGCAAAATAATAATTAAAAAAAAAATGATGCACAAGTTTTATCAGGGTATTTTGAAGTTTTTATAAAAAAATATTTTGTCAAAATTGATGATTAGAGAGTAATTTGGTGCAAAATTTTAAACTATATGAATTTATATGCACATACTAAATAGTAAAAGTATGTTTTAAATTTTTTATATAGCAATGGATTTTCTGCATTATACTCAATAATTTATTTAAAAAATATATTATACAGTAAATTTGATCAGACTTATAAATGGTTCAGATAATTTAATAATCCATCTATCTCAAAATTATTGTCAATAGATGTCTCAAAATACATGTTTCATTTCAAAAATGGATATACCATTTTTTATAACATTCTAAAATTATTTTTTTTACTAGACAAGTACATTAATTACGCAGTACTATTTTATCATTTAACAAAATAAATTTATAAATTTACTCTTATTAATATAATAAGAAATTGGAGATGAATTTTGGAAAAGACGGAATAATAAGTTTGAACCGAAAGTGTGAAGTCAGTCAACCAAAGAGACAAAACTGAATTGTTCCATTATTAATGCCAAGTTGCCAACCAATCTGACATAGACAGACTCTGTACCACTAATTCCAAGTTATTTGTCTCACTTTCGATTTCTCAATCAGTGCTCCAAGTATTGAAAAAGGTCTGTTTTCATTTAAGAAAATGTTTCCTTTCATAAAAGAATAGAAATGCCAAAGAATAAATATTTATATGAAAGCTTATTTTAAAGCATGAAACAATATTTTCGGTAGGTACAGTGTAAATTTTAAACATATAAACAAGAAAAATAGAGAATTAAAGGGAGGCATGCATAATTCCTAGTCCAATTTAGACTTTAACTGTATTTTTTTTTATAAGAATTCTGATCGAATTAAACCTGGATGCTTTCTTAAGTACACGACTAGATACCTACTATATACATTTAATATTACAAGTGTTAAATGGTTCGCAGAATCGGTCATAGTCGTGATATTGGTCGCGGTTGTGGTGTATCAGACTCGGACAAAGTCAGTGTAAACTGACCAATACAAATCGCGTATCGAATTTGAAAAAAAGTAATGTATTGGTCGATATATTGCGTATTGAATAATACGACGAAGCATATTGGTAAGTGACATACAGATAGTCGAGGAGCATGCAATAATTTATTGTATAATCCATTAACAAGCCCCTAAAATACATTTTAAATTTGGAGAAATAAAGGAATAAGAAAATTAAACATGTGCCTATTGAATAACTCAAAATTTGTTTAGCTTTCGATCTTTCATCATGTTGAGATGATTGTAATGACGTGAATATCTCAAACTCTTTTTCCACAAAAATATCCACCCAAGATTCATTAATTCACCCACCTGCTAAGACTCCACAACTTAAAAAAGCAGAGAGAGCGAGAGAGAGAGAGAGAGAGAGAGAGTGAGAGAGAGGGGTAGAGAATGGAAAAACTAAGGGAAGGAAAGGTAGAGGAGGGAATGGATTTAGAAAATGAAAAGATGTGTTTGGAAGAGGAGAAGAAGGAAAAAAGAGCAGAGCATGAAGAGGAAGAAGAAGTAGGATTGTCGGTGGAGAAGATATTTGAGAGCAAAGAAGTGCCTTCATGGAAGAAACAGTTGACAGTGAGAGCCTTTGTGGTGAGCTTTGGACTGTCGGTGATGTTCAGCTTCATAGTGATGAAGCTCAATCTCACCACTGGTATCATACCTTCCCTCAACGTCTCTGCTGGACTGTTGGGTTTCTTCTTCGTCAAGACTTGGACCAAACTGCTTCACAGATCTGCCCTCTTCAAGCAACCCTTCACCCGCCAAGAGAACACCGTCGTTCAGACCTGCGTGGTCGCCTCCTCCGGCATCGCCTTTAGCGGTACGTACACATCCCCACAAATTTATTGGCTACTAGCTTATATGGATCTGTTCTTTTTTTTTTTTAGTTAACTGCCATAGTGGATCAGTTGCAGCATCTTTAATGGTTTTTTTTATTTATTATTATTTATTATTATTATTATTATTATTATTTTATAACGCAACAGTTTCTTCGGTAATGTCCATTGGCAACTCAAATTCCTATAGACTTTTGTTTTTTAAAATTCGAAAACAATCTCTCTCTTTTTTTTTTTGAACTATTAATTATATTTCTCAAAATCATTTTTTTTTTCTTGTCTCAATTATTGTGTACAAATAGGAGGTTTTGGGAGTTACCTCTTTGGAATGAGTGAACGAATTGCCAAAGAATCAGGACAAGAGAGTGACTATAAGAATCCGACCATAGGATGGATGATAGGTTTTCTCTTTGTCGTCAGTTTTCTCGGCCTATTCTCAGTGGTCCCTCTCCGAAAGGTATTTTTTACAACTTGCACATTGGATAAAATTAAGGAAATAAGATAGGGTCGTTTGGTTCAATTTTTTTGTTTTTAGGTTACTGAAAATTAAAAATTTGTAAAAAAATTTGTTTGATTGCAGTTTTTCAAAACTCAATAATAAAAATGTGTGGAATAGTACGTTTTTTAAAAATTGAACCAAACAGATTCCAAAAAAACTCAATTTTATATTCACCTAAATTGTCAAAACAGTTTTGGGATAGAATTATGATACTCGTGGATTATTGATCTATTAAAGTTTGCGTTGGAAACAATATTATTTAAAATATAAATTTAAATGGTGTAGCTATTGGTTGTTCTCAGATCATGGTCATAGACTTCAAATTGACATATCCAAGTGGTACCGCGACTGCGCATCTTATTAACAGCTTCCACACTCCTGAAGGAGCCAAGTTAGCAAAGTAAGACCTATATATATATGTGTGTTACTTCAAGATTTCATGTTGCGCAACAAATAAATGAATTTCAGAGAGTTCCACTACTTACTTACATATTCCGCTACACCTACTCAGGAAACAAGTGAGAGAATTGGGCAAATTCTTCTCCTTCAGTTTCTTATGGGGTTTCTTCCAATGGTTCTTCACCGCCGGAGATGATTGTGGATTCACAAACTTCCCTACATTTGGACTCAAAGCATATAAATACAAGTACACGTTTGACTCTCTTTCTCATGTTTTATATCAGTATATATCTAAACAAATCTATAGATGTAAAAAATATGAATGTCATTTCCAATAATCAGGGCTGGTTTGAACTAATATTTTCCAGTATGATCATTGTAAACACAACTGGCCAGTTTGAAATTCACCTGAGGGAGGCTAAATAAAGCCAAAAGATCAATACCAACGGGCATTAGTCCAGATGGTACGATCTCTCCTCTCCTGAGAGGAGTTTTGAGTGTTCGAAAGTGTTCAAGCAATTAATTTGTGTATTTCAAAAGTACAGGTTCTACTTCGATTTTTCGGCCACTTATATTGGAGTTGGGATGATCTGTCCCCATATCATAAATGTATCATTGCTGGTTGGAGGAATTCTTTCTTGGGGAATCATGTGGCCTCTTATAGAAGCTAGAAGGGGTGATTGGTACTCTGCAGATCTTCCCCTAACCAGCCTACATGGCCTTCAAGGTTATAAGGTATTGGACACACGTATATATATATATAGTTTCTGTTAATCGTGTTCTTGAATATGTGCTTCATGGAGGTTTCAACTTTGTCCCTCTTTTTAAAGCTTAATTTGAACTTGACATACACAGATTTTCATCGCCATAGCTGTGATTCTTGGTGATGGCTTGTACAACTTCTTCAAGGTGCTGACCCGAACTCTCTTGGCCTTGTTTTACCAACTCCGTCAAAAATATTCCAACACCGGTCCCCTTTTTGCTGACTCTCAACCTTCTGAGAGCCCTCGTCTGTCTTATGACAACCAGCGACGAACCAAACTCTTCCTCAAAGATCAAATCCCAACATGGTTTGCCATGGGAGGATACGTTGCAATCGCTGCTATCTCAACTGCTACACTTCCTCACATATTCCACCAGCTCAAATGGTACTACATACTGGTTCTCTACATCTTCGCGCCTGCTTTGGCTTTTTGCAATGCATATGGCTGTGGGCTCACTGATTGGTCCCTCGCGTCCACCTATGGCAAGCTTGCCATCTTCACGATTGGGGCGTGGGCTGGTGCCTCACATGGTGGAGTTCTCGCGGGCCTGGCAGCCTGTGGTGTCATGATGAATATTGTGTCGACAGCCTCTGACTTGATGCAGGACTTCAAGACAGGGTACATGACCTTGGCCTCACCGCGGTCCATGTTTGTTAGCCAAGTGATTGGCACTGCAATGGGGTGTGTGATTTCGCCTTGTGTCTTTTGGATATTCTACAAGGCCTTCCCTGACATGGGACTCACTACCAGTGAATATCCTGCACCTTTTGCTCTAGTGTACCGAAACATGGCCAAATTGGGGGTTGAAGGTGTCAACACATTACCCACAAATTGTCTCACTCTTTGTTATGTGTTCTTTGGCGCCGCCATTTTCATAAACTTGGTGAGGGATGGTCTGGGGAAGAAGAGAGCGTGGTTTATTCCGGTTCCAATGGCAATGGCGATACCATTTTATCTGGGATCATACTTTGCCATTGACATGTGTGTTGGGAGTTTGATACTATTTGTGTGGCAAAAGATAAACAGGGCTAAGGCAGATGCTTTTGGACCTGCTGTGGCTTCTGGTTTGATTTGTGGGGATGGGATATGGACATTGCCTAATGCCATACTTGCTCTTGCTGGTGTAAAACCTCCTATTTGCATGAAGTTTCTGTCTAGAAAAACAAATGTCAGGGTTGATGATTTTCTTACGCCTAAGAAAGGTTGATTAGGTTTTTAATTAGCCTCTCTGGCCAAAGTCTGGCTTAATAAATTAATGTACTCAAAGACTTGGTCATCATCATATTCATATGTTTGAAAAATATACTACCATGTAAATTTTCTCTCTCTTCTTATTTCGGATTCAATCCAAATGTAGCTATCCCCAAGTCCATTATCTGTATGACTATAAACCTTTTAAAATATGGACCAATCACTTCCTTATATTGCCCACAAAGAAAAATAAAGAAATGGGCATTTGACTCTT